AAACGTGCATGAATTCTTCCTAAAATTCAAATAATTAGTGAAAATTCAATAGATTAGAAAGAAAAATATGTCTGTCCTTGTCGTTCAATAGTGTGCTCCTTCTCTGTTACGTCACGTGTATCTGTCCTTGTCCCACAGTATTGCGCTTCTTGTCCAACAGTAGTCGAGATACCTCCGTGTATATTCTATATTCCTGTTACATTACAGAGTTTCTGGACATATTTCGAGACGGAATGACAACATCCGATTAAAAAAGAATAGCACTATCACGTGACAAAGAGAGATGTACTTTTCTGTCTATTCTTCATCCAATATTCATTAATTACTCGATTTCTAGCACGAAATTATGCACTTTTGGAATCGTGGAATAAAATCCAGCCTACAAGCAATATTCACGCAATAGTCCGTTGACTGACACGATGAATTTTCGCATAATTTCGATTAACAGATAATTAATTATTAATGTTTATGTATGGAATATGAAGTACAGAGTCTGAGGAAGCTTCTACGATTCCAATTTTTTTTTAAAAGCTCCATAGTAATAAAAAATCGTAGTCACGCGTCTCATAAGCCTAGACGCTTGTTGAGATATTTGTTAATAACTAATTAATTGAACAAAAAATCCTATTCAAAACTGTAAAGGAACGTTACTGAAGGTTTATACTTTATTACCTAATTCCAAAAGTACACGAATTGTTCCTGAAATTTGAGTTATTAGTGAATATTTAATAAATTAGATAGAGAAGTTGTCTGTTTTTGTTCCACAGTATCGCTCTTATCTGACAGATTTTGAGATACCTCCTTGCATGTTCTATGTTCCTGTTATATTTTTTGACTTTCTACTCGCAATAGCACCATTGTGCAAGAATAGGACATTTCTTCTTAACTCATCGAATATTTATTAATTACTCGATTTCTAGGAGAGATTCGTGTACTTTTGGAATCGTAGAATAAAGACTAGATCACAGACACAACATTAATGCCAAGTATTTAACCAGAATTTTACTATAAATAATTAGTTATTGACAATTGTTACGTATGAATAGTTCCACGATTTTTCATATAATTTCAATTTTATGTGTGTGTGTGTGTGTGTGTATTTATAAATTTTTTGTATTATTTTATATTGCATTACCAATACGATGAATTTACTGTATAAGCACACCTTCAGCTTTTATGCCATTTAATTCCGCTTCACGAAACAGATCCTCAGGTAGGCAAACATCGGTAGAGGTAATCCCCATCATGGGTATTTAGACGTTCCTTGTCATAACAAACGTTTGTTCTTATTTTTACATTCATGGAACTAGCGAAAAGAGCACACGAAACGATTAAAGATGAAATCGAGCGTATCAGACCATCGATACTATTTTTCTCGACGATTTGTTGAGCATATTGAAAGAAAGTGAAGCAAAGTTGTCTTTGAAAGGTTCTCAGGGTTATCAAAAATTACACAGTTACACTGGGAATATATATACATTTATTGAAATATTTGGCATACATTGTATTATTTTACACATTGAAAGTTGTAAAAGTATTACACAGATTGCATATTATACAATGTAGAAAAATATTTAGAATTTATTAAATTGTATTGTATTCAAATTTAACTCTTAACTCGCATTACTGAGCTACTCCGGAGCATAATGATTTAGAATTAATTCTTCAGGGACGACATCCCTATGCAATCTTTATCAAAAGATTTATTTTAACAATTGAGCTTCTCCTGCCATTATTTAAAGCTGCAAATAGTATTATTAAACTTAGTTAATTAGTAGTATTAGATTTAAATCCATTAAAATTGTCAGAAAGTTTAAATCATCAAACATTGTCCTTGAAATTAAAATTAAATTACACTTAGTTTCAGAATTTTTAATTTACAATTAAGCTTTATCGCTTCATTAAATGTTCTTCCAAATAATATAAATTCCACGCAGCACTAACATTTAATCAGATTATGTCACATTAAATAACATATCTACCATCATGAAATTAACAAGTAAATAACTCACACACAGAGACGTACTTATCTACATCTTTTTCGGGTTTGCCAGATTTCAAAATCTGGTCCCGTAAGAGTTTCTGCCTAGACGGAAGCAAATAAAGTAAAAAAAAAAAAAAGAAAGTAAAGTAAAGAGAAGATAAAGAAGTAAAGAAAGACAGAAGTGAAATCCTCGATCTCACAATGGTCTCGTTTCTGGACGCTCGATTGAACGATAATGGACACTAAGTGATACAATAGAGAGTCGACTTAGGAGCAGACTGTTCTTACCCCGAACGATCGCGATGGTCATCCTTATTGGCTTATTTCGTGAGCTGTACATTGTTATATATTATTACAAAGGTGTATATACATCCTTGTGCCTTTTACCGCCATTCAGAGAAACAGGCGCACGAGCTGTTTGTATTCCTATTATTTGGTCAAATAAATACGAAGAGGATATTTGAAGATAGTTTAAGAATCACCGGTACAATGACCAGTAAGAGGATATAAAAATCGGCAGATTGGTTCGAGTATCGAATGCAAAAAGAAAAGACATCTCGAATGTTTTCAGTTGTGCATCTGGTTTGGGCTGCTGAAAGGAGAAGTTTTTGAAGAAAGGAGAAATTTTTACGCGATTGCGTTAGAATCGATTGTTAATGAGGATCTTCCAGTTCTAGGAAGACTTCCAGGGAGATGTTTCAGAAAGAGATTTGTGAGAATTCAATGTATTGGAATGATTGATTGTAAATACCAGATAAAATCTATTGTTAAATTAAAAGTAAAAGAGTCATGTAATAGAAGAAAATGAAAAACACTTGTTTGTCAGTTAACATCTTTTATCTAACTCACATAATATCGAGAAGTTCAAAATTGAGTGGTTGCGGGAACATTTACCATAATCTCTGAATCCGTGAATTATCCAAATTTTAATCTAATCACCGGAGTACGAATTTGAAATACGTAATACATAAAAATGTATAAAATGTCCAGAATGTTCAATAAATGAAAACCATTTATCTTCCATTTATCTTCATAAATTCTACCTACATTTATCTTCATAAAATTGTAGATTGACATAAATATCCGCAATCTGTTAATCAACTAATCAATTGATCATCAGTTAACCAATTAATTAACTACTGAGTCAGAAAATTCACAGGCAGCATCTTATTCTCAAATACTTGACAGAATAGCTGTATCATTTATTCCATTAATTAAACGTGATTAATTAACCATAAAAGCGTGTCATGACTCGAAACTAATTCGCGTAACTTAAGGTAAATAAGATAATAAGAATAATTCGACGATCCATAGGTCGTTGCGGCGATGAATCCGATACAGAGAGTGAACCTGGCATTCCTTTGAAGCGAAAGCAACGAAGAAGCAGAACGACATTCACCGGAGAACAGCTGGAACAACTGGAGACCGCGTTCCAGCGTGCTCAGTATCCGGACGTTTATGCAAGAGAGGAATTAGCTCAGAGGACTGGCCTCACAGAAGCAAGAATTCAAGTGAGTTTTACGTCATTTGTCGAGTATCCCATCAATTAATCCTTTCAACGTCAACATCTACTACAGTATGTATTCAACCATACAATGCCTGACATGTGTGAAATAAATAATTCACTTTGAAAGAGATTCAAGTGAAAGTTAGCCGTTTGTTTTAGATTGAGTTATATAATGGAACTGAGAGAGAATCTTAAAATCAGTATGGAAATGTTTCAATTCCAAAAATCCGACCCAGTCACCACTGTGTTTCAAAATATAAAATTATTCTACGTTCAAAAACTGAATACTCCGTCAATATAATAAAATGTATTAGATACTCAATATCTCAACTAACTGAAACATTTATAATCATTTCAGGTGTGGTTCAGCAATCGCAGAGCACGACTACGAAAACACGCAGGAAGCATAGCTCACTCGGTAGCGGGATTACCATTGACACCTTGTCAATACGCGAGCCATGAGCTTGCACAAATACCACACGTACCTCAAATGCCACCCGGAATAACTCAAGTACCAACCACGTTACATCATAGTCCAACGACATTGCAACAAGCAAGTGCAACTGTTCATCAAGTCCCAGGGAACAATGCACAGATATCAAACACCACGTCTGTGGCTCAAGTGCCTTCCACGATCAGCAGTGCTCTTCAAGGACATGCGGTGTCGATTTCAGGACATCTAAGTTCCTTACAGGGGCACACGATGCAACTGGGGCAGGTACCAACGATTCAACCTCCTGCAGCACACGGGGTACCAACTACTCTCTCTCATAACCCTGGTCAGTTGGATATATTACATTATTGAAGTGTTGTTAATATTTTGTCTTCCCCCTGGAAAGTTTATTTTGTTTTTATTGGTATTTATAATTTATAATAATGTTAATGAAATCTCAAATTCCAAGCTCACGTGATTTTAGTTCTTGTCGAGGCGCGATAATAAACAACGACATTCGTCCAAATTTCAGGCAACACCGATTGGTCCAGGGCGCAACTCGGTTGGGGACAGTTCAATCACTTCCAAAGTGAATACACGTCGAGTCACTCGAGTCATCAGCATTCCTCGCACGCAAGTCATGCTGCTACATCGTCCTCTAGTACTGGGAATTCTGCATCGGTGGCGGAATGGTACGATCAGGGCTACGATTATTCTCAACACGCTCAGTTGAACTATCATCGAAGCGTGGGCGGCATATTTTAACGGACGATGATTGCATGGGCACTGGTGAAAGTCAGTCAGATTATCGATCGACGTTTCATTGCGCATGATGGCTTTCGTTTTTCTTGTAAAAAATTCTCTGGATCTCCGCCCATTTTCTTGGTAATCCTTCTGAGTTCAGTTTTGTTTCGAACAGTCTCGAGATATCTCAATGAACCTGAAGATCAGAGGGGAAAAAATGTAAGTCGTAGGACAATTTTAAAATTCAATATGATGACTTTTTAGTAGAGTAAATATTTAGAAAGTATTAATTAATATTTGATTCTCTATCGTGACTGACAATAGACTTTTTAATATTGTTAGGACAATAACATTAAATGAGCCTTTACACTTTATCTTATGCGTGTGAGAATCAAAGAATAATTTGTAAAATATAGAAAGAAATTATTTATTAAATCGTTGCTTTATTTAAAAAGAAATTAATATTTTCTAATAAATATCGAATACATCATTTCTTATGCTTTTTAGCAATAATGTAAATTAATAGGAAAGATGTAGAAAGTATTGAAACATTTTAAGTACAAGGATGCAATTGCTCATTAATTAGATAAAAAAAGAAAATGAATGTTTTTACTGAAAAATTTCATAATTAAAATAGTCTATTTTTGTAAATAAGTCGATGTATATATATATTTTCTATTCCTAACATTATGTGACATTCATGTACGAAGTAGTTTTTGTAGATGCGCAAAGAAAATATTTTTATTAATTCTTGTGTCAAGTGCTTTCTCCCCTGAACATCCTCTACACCATTGTTCCTGGACATAATAATGAAAATAAAATATAATTCACTTCCATATAAAATTCAAGACGAAATATTACTCGATGATTAAAAGTTAAGGTAAGTTTCTACTAATGCATACATACCTATGTATCTTCATGAAATAAGCAAATCCATTTTACAAAGAAAGTGTACCTCCATCATTCTGCTGTTGGGATATCTTTGATCTTCTTAAATCCTATTCAGGTAGTCCACATGAATCAGATCGTTATTCATATAACAGAATTTAACAACGATCAAACACAAAAGTAACACAATACCAGAACGAGGTGTACATGACGCTTGAGACATTTATTACACTTGCTTTTGTAGCATAATAAAGCAAGTTAATCCCGCTTATGAGAATATTTGTGTATACTTTCTTCGTCGAGGAAAATTGGAGCATATCTTGAATAGAACATTACTTAAAGATTTTAAAATATGGAACCTTCATAAATATGGGATTATCTTACAAGTTGCGTATAAAGATCAATGTCACATCTATAACAAAAGAGAGAATCTTTGGAAAATAAAGAAGAGAAAGAATTATTGAATTGATGGTATCGACGACAAAAACGAGGTTCTTTTACTTCATCGTTTATTATTATCGTTTTATTGTCATCTCGTTTACTCGTTATTGTCTAGACAAACACATCAATACATTCTCATAAAATCGATGACGATCGAACAATGGTACACACCATTCGCATTAGTTAGACAAATCGTTGATGTCGATCGACTCGGAATTACACCACAATTCTTTCCGACCGCGCGTTTTACATTTAACATACACGTATTACACAATGATCTATCGATAAGTACTGAAACATGTATCATGGACAAAAGAAAGCTGAATTTTGCGTTATTACTATCGAGCCTGCAAGCCCTGAGCACTAAGAATTTACACCGACTACTGCTATACGTCGAAGATCGCGTCACGGCTTCCTTCATTTTGCCCTAAACCGCCAGCTGTAGTAGAAATATCGAATGAAAACATCTCAAAAATCACCAACATCTCTCGGTGAACATCTCTCAATCGAACAATGAATTTCTTAAACTCTGAGGGATACGGAAATGCTTCAGACCTACTTACTCATCGAGAGTAACCCTATCTGATTGTTAATCTTATTTTATACTAAAATTAACAAATATACACGAATACATCTGTACTTGGAAAGTAAATTTGCATTGAATGTAAGTGACAAAAACTTACTACTACATTTGTTAAGATGTGTCAGATAGAATTATAATAAATTTAGTAACTAATTTGGAAGTTTAGCGTTAATTTATCGAAAGTTAGATACCGATATCTATTAAATGTTATTAAGACTACTTAAAATTTTGCTCCAGGTTCAAGACATCATCGCTGAACAGACATATCTAAGCAGATATAGCTTTACGAATCAGACACATTCGATACTATTATTACAGAACTGTTAAGATTATTGTCGCTCGTTATTGTCTAATTACATTAATTTTGGAGAAAAGTATGTTTGAGGAAGTCTCTTAACGTTAATAGAAATCGTGTCAGATGTAAAGAAGACGTGTTTAATTGGCATGTTTAATTTGACATAAGCAACGTGAGAAGTGAATATGAAAATTAAGATTCGAGATTAACTGAGTACTACTTCGAGCAACGTACAATTTTGTTCCTCTTCTAACATTTCTAATATTTCTTCTTAAAATAAACGAAAACATTATTGAAATCGTATTGCAAATGATATTTGTACTCTCGTTAAAATCAAAGAGTCTATAAAATTCCAAACTAATAAACATGATTGAGAGCGATATAAATTAATGCAATAATCAATGTTTATTAATTATTCATATTCTATTAAATATTTCATAAAAAATTGAACGTCGCTCTGAATTTTACCTCATATTGACTGCTATTCTCTCTTAAACATACGCTTAGAGCATTATGCACTAAATTAAATACAGTATATAAAGTCGTTACCTGTAGGTATATATTATAAAATACTGTCAAATGTCAGATTGTACATCGATACAGGAAGCGTAAATAATTCACTTTATCAAATCTTTGGTTGCTAGTGAAAAAGATTTAGAAAAAATTAACAAAGCTAGTTAATCGATGTTAATCGAGGTTAGTCGAATATTGATAATTACTGATGCACGAGAAACTTTTAAGTACAGTATACTGTAATAATAAATACAGTGCCAATTGTCCATTGTATACAATAGAATCTTTTGTCTTAGATTATAACTTAGACATTCAATCTCAACTAGCATCTTCAAGTCGTAAACCGCAACAATTTGAACTAGATCGTTTAACATTAATCTAATTCGAATTTATATTCCACATCTTACGTGATAAATGACAGAATAAGAGTTGAAATTAAATACTTAAGAATAACTGAATTTCTGTAGATCATTTACGACACGATACTAATTGAGAATTAAATCTAATTGATTTCTGAATCTTCAGAAATTATTGTCACTTGCAATCTGCCAAAACCACAAGCAATGGCGCGCCCCATATACTTCGTAAACGCAATTCGAAAATAATTTAATCTGCAGTAGATAACTGAGAACAGGAAAGAAGTTAGCAGTAAACTTTTCGTACCAGTTACAGGCAAATATCGGAAATTCCTAAATAAAATTCGTTTCTCAAAGTGTTTATAATTGTTATTCAATTCCAGAGATGTACGAGCAAACGCGTGAACAAAATAACTAACTTCATCGACATCTATCGAGTTCTAAGGTAACTTAGAAGGGGAATAGTTTACGATGATTTAGATCGCAGCGTGCTTGGAAGTTTCTGATGGAAATAATTACCCATAGTCGGTAAGGGAAGAAACCTTTCGAAGCCGTGTCGACAATCCTCGTGCAAGGCTTGAATGTAGCGTGCCCTTGGATTGAAGTTAGGTCTTAGCGACCTTGACGTGTTGGAGGAGTAGTCGGACGAGGTCCCATCTGCGGGATTCTCCCTAAAATACATGATTCAAAATTCGTGTCAAATCGCGAAATAAAGTTTTCCCTAATTACACTGCAAGTTACTAGTCTATATAGCACATATAGTCTACATAGAGTTATCGTTATTACACGCTACACAGCGCTGAGACACTGATATCACTAAATACGGATTGCAGTTGTAAAAACGATACGAGAGATGATTGGTTTTTTTTTTTTTATCCAAAAGTAAATCAATTTAGATTTTGTGAAAGTATAATTGCATGACACTATGATACACTTATCATAGTAATTATATACTTATATACATGTTACAATGTACATTCTCAAGAAATTTAATCTTACATTTTTATCTCCTACTCGGATCATCTTTTCGCGTGCATCCCGTATATTGCCATACCTAAGGAAACAACAAACACAATGGTAGGCCTTCGTTGTATTTGCATAATAATAGCTTATACCGCTTATTGTTGATCGCTGCATAAAAAATTGTACAGATATAAGCGTATGAGACACTTAAATTGTTCGTTGACAAAAACGAAGTTTCGATGAGCGAAGAAATTTGACAGCACGACACATATCTAATATTTAACACTTAACTACTTAACATTAAAGACAGCGCAATGTTTTAACTCCGAACATTTTTTGCGGAAGTCTTCGATACATGTCTGTATCGAAATAACTATGAAACATTTTCAAAAACAAAAGAGTAAAATAAATATAAATTCACCATTCGTAATAAAACATTGTCTGTCTACAGAGTAAACGATAGAGAATAGGACAAATCTATTATAGTATATTCATTGTTCTTCTGGCGAGACAATTGAAAAATTACTTACACTTCACCGTTTTAGAAAATGAGATAGTACGATGCTAAAATGATTACAGAGGTCATATAAATAGAGATAAAGATATATATTTCGTTAAAAGAAATATTCTGCTCTTATATAATCGTATAATATTTACAGTTCTTTTATTTTCCTACGAAATTAATATATCGACTGTGATTATCCATTACTGATTAACATAAACCGAAATTAGACCACTTGTTCAGATAGATAACCCTGATACGAATACAGCAACGTTATTCCAACAAAGGACAACTCTAAAACTGTTATCTAAAATTATCTATTGATCGATCGTTCGTGCTAGAATATCTATAACGTTATTATGTCCCAGTCAATCTAAAACATCTACCATATCAGCGCTCTAAATTGGTCGCAGCATCGAATCGCAAGTTCTATAACATCGATAAATGCACCACACCGAAACACCTAGTTTGCTATTTAACTACCGTGAACGGTCCATGTAGAATTAGAAGTGGAAGTGAAAGATGTCATATTGGCGAACGTTTGGCGTAAAATGATCATTGCATTTTCTACGATCCGGAGGATCTCCCTCTCCCAAATATTCAAATATTCCCGATCATTCGACCACATTCGTTTCCTTTTTTATACTTTCATTTGGATGTAGATGTTCGCGACAGCGCAGCGTGATAAGAGAGGAAAATGACGAACAGTACAAAGAGAAAGGAGAAAGAGAAATAGAGACAGAAAGAGAGAGACACAAAGAAACATAGGAGAGATATACTCAAATGGACCATCGGGAGAGACGGACCAAGTTCTCAAGCTTGTTTAACGACTATTTCATTATGTACCGAAATATGTTTGTAAATTTGACGTTCTATAAAATTTTCTATAAAATTTTGACAAAAATCAATTTCTTGCAAGATGTTATATGTAAATTGAATGAGATGCCTAGTTAACTACACTTGAAACAACATGAATAATCTATAAATATGTTAAAGTGGTCCATCTTACCCGTAATAATAATAATAAGGGGAGGTTGGATTACAACCTAAAATACTGAAATACTGATTTCTACAGCTACCTATGATAATACAGCTACCATGATAATTTTACAGTAAATTGTTCACTATATTATGATACACAAATGGACAAGTATAATATTGAATAATTTTGAAACTACTGTAAGTTTAAGATGTTCTTTTTCTTTTTAATAACGAGGTCCATCTCTTCCGGAATTACCCTAAAATGACGGAGCAGGTGAGAACCTAATGGTCTGACCTGCCAATTAGATACCGAGGTGAGCGCGAAAATCGCGCGACCCTCAAAGTTGGAAGCCAACCAAGACGTGCCAGGGCTCCGATGTGTCTTTTACTCGCTTGAAACGTTTCCGGGTAGCCGAACTGGTCTACCTCTGGCTGCATCTCCGGTGCAGAACCTGTTTCTGACATTCACAGATTGCGCTCGATTTACGCTCGATCTCTGACTTTCACGTTCAACTACTACGCGGTTGACATGTCTATTCCCAACGATATGGAATACTCTCGCTCGAACGAGTCGAGGTCTACTTTCAGCTGTGCGTACAAGAGTGCTTATGGGGGACATAGCGTGTCGTATTCTATTGCCGTTATTCTATTAATCTAGCCCGTTGCAAGGATGGGATGCGTTGTTGGAAAGAAAACGAGAGGAAATTGCTATTTCGATGGTTGGAAAATGTACTTTGTGTGTCTTAACATTTTGTTGATCTATCGAGATTCTTCTATCGTGAAGAATCATTCGTCAGTGACGTATTTTATATATTGCTTCTTCAAAATAATTAACACTCTCGTTTTATGAATCCTCAAAAAGAAAATTTCCTAGATTTCCCAACCCTAAGCTACAAAGAAATAAATATACTTTACTCACCCATGAACCTCTTCTCTGCATTCGGGTATTGTCCATTGAGTGCCTCCATCATCTCTTCATAATCAAAAACATTCGTATTCTGCAAGACAGGCAGAGGGTACTCATCGGAGAATCCAATCTGTCTTTTAGATCTCCTAACGTTCGACTCAATTTTCGCCAACGAATCGTTCAACTTCTCCTCCACTGTTTCGTAATCGTTTCCCTGATTCTGTTCCAGATTATTCAGTTCCTGAAGATCCAACAGGTCGTTCCTCGCGTTCATTTCGTCCGTCATCGATCTACCATGGCGGGAGAGGGTCCTGAGAATCACGCTTCCGGGTAGGAGAACACCTCTCTTCAATGAAACTGGCCAAGCGGAATTTTTAGCCAAAGATGAGACACTCCTTTGATTTCTGGCAGGAAAATCGCCTGTTCTAGCTAGAGAACCGACGTATCTTTTCCCATAAGGAAGTCCATAGTCTCTGGCTACGGACGCTATGTTCCTTTTCCCATTTTGAGGCAGAGTAAACGTTCTCGCCAAGGAAGCGACGTTCCTTTTTCCATTGTAAGGTGCCATAGGTTCTTTATTATTACTCTTACTCTGATCGTAATCGTGAACCAGCGACGCCATGTTACGTCTACCAGGTGGCAATGCGAAATCTCGAGCCAAAGTGCCAACGTTTCGTTTCTCCATTAGATAATCTCGTGTGAAAGCTTGTAGGTCTGAACGACTTGGTAGGAGATAATCATTTTGCTCTGATTGCTCGCTGTTTGAGGAATTAATAGGAAAATTAGTTTTAATTTCGAACATCATATAAAATTTGTCAATATTTCGAATAATGATTAACAATCAATCGATCGATACTTGCAGGTAATTCTTGTTTTATTTTCAGATTTCTCCACATTTTCTAAATTTAAATTCATATAAGAAAACTATACTTAATAA